GTTTCTGGGATCAAGTTCCACATCCGGCTCCCTGCTCAATGCAGAGTCTGCTTGTCCCTCTCCCACTGCCTCTCCCCCTGTTCCTGCTTGCTCTCTCTCTCTCTGTCAAATAAATAAATAAATCTTAAAAAAAAATAAGTGTACATTTCAGTGACACTGACACTGATTACCAACATTCACATTGTTGGGCAACAATCACTATCATCTAGATCCAGAACTTTTTCATCATTCCAAACTGAAACTCTACTCATTAAACACTAACTCCCTATTCCCCCTCACCCTGCCACTTGGCAACCACCCCTATTTTCAGACTCTAAGAATTTGACTATTCTAGGTACCACCTCATATAAGAGGAATCATACAGTACTTGCCCTTTTTTGACTGGCTGATTGCCCTTAGCATAATGTTCTCAAGATTCATTCATGTTGTAGCATGTGTCAGAATTTCCTTTGACTGAAAAATATTCCTTGTATGTATATATCACATTTTGTTTATCCATTTATCCACTGATGGACACTTGGGCTGCTTCCACCTTTTGGCTGTTGTAACAAGGCTGCTATAAAGAACATTATTGCATATATGGGTGTAGAAATATTTTAATTCCTGCCTTCACTAAGTATTTTCTGAGTTAAGTGGCTTTAAGAATATTAAAGAATGCAAGATCCCACCAAGTTTCAAGATCTTTAAAATGATATTTCTGGGAAGCCTGGGTGGCTTAGTTGGTTAAATGTCTGCCTTCACCTCAGGTCATGATCCCAGGGTCCCAGGATCCAGCCTTGCATTGCATCGGGTTCCCTGCTCAGTGGAGACCCTGCTTCTCCCTCTCCCTATGCCCCTCCCCCAGCTTGTGCTGTCTCTCTCTGTCAAATAAAAGAATAAAATATTTTTAAAAATAAAATGATATTTCTTAGGCTTCCAACAAATTCAACATCCTGAGTTAGGAAAAAGACATTTACATGTAATAAAAACTTATCCACCAGGGTGGCACTTGCAGGTTTCTATTAATAGAAAAATTAGGAAATGTGTATTACTTAAATCTGGAAAACAGACTGAAGTTATCATTTCTTGAAGTTTTGAAATCATTCTCCAAAGAATCATTTAAATAGGGTTCAGGATGTCCAGCCAGGGTCTTAAATAAGAATAAAGGTGGCCTCCCGGCTTTAAACTACTGGTACATAATGTCAATTACAATCAAAGAGATTGCATATGTCCAATGGCCCTTCTGGCTATCGTGATGAACAGTTCAAAAGGCTCGTGGGGCTGAGTTCAGAACAGTTTCAAGTCTTTGCCAGGCAGTTTCCTCCAATACCTGAAGCTCAAATTACTGTCTTTGTCCAAGATGGCACTTCTAGTCCAAGCCTCTCCTCTGTCTATGCAGTCTGTCTAGCCAACCCCGGACTCCACACTAACACATCCATTCCAGCAGGGAGACTAGGTCTCTGTAAATGAAATCAGGAGAAAGAATTGTCTTGGATCTAGGAGGATTGTGTGCTGGGAAATACTTGATCATGCTGGTATGGGCAGGCCCTGCATCTCCACAGCCCCACACTGAAGCACAGCCATACGAAAATCATCATCAAAATGTAGTGAGCCTGATTCTGCAAATTACATCTACTTTGTAAAAACCCTGAAAGCCTAGAAAGGGTCTGTGTTTGTTTATTTTTAAGATTTATTTATTTGAGAGACAGAGTGAGCAAGATAGAGCATGAGTGGGGGAAGGGAGAGGGAGAAACAGATTCCCCTGTTGAGCAGGGAGCCCTTTGCAGGGCTCAATCCCAGGGTCCTGGGATCATGACCTGAGCCGAAGGCAGATGCTTAACCGACTAACCACCCAGGCACCCCTTACAATTCTCTTAAGTGATGGTGAACAATGATGTAATTGAGACTAACAAACATATAGGCTCACATTTTTACATCCACGGAGCGAGGAGTGATGAGGTAAACCAGCCTCTTCATAGTGAAAAGAAGCTAATCTCATGTATTCTAAAAACTTAAAACTCTGGAAGACTGTGACTCCCTTTCTTTTCAAAGGTATGTTTATATTGAGGTGTCTGGGTGGCTCAGTTGGTTAAACATCCAACTTTTGACTTCGACTCAGGTCATGATCTCAGGGTTGTGAGATCAAGCCCCACATTGGGCTTCACCTGGGCATGGAGCTTGCTTAAGATTCTCTCTCTCCCTCTCCCTCTGCCATTCCCCTCACCCCCAATTAAAAAAAAAAACTATTAAAAAAAAAAAAGGTATGTTGGGGCACCTGGGTGTCTCAGTCAGTTAAGTGGCTGCCTTTGGCTCAGATCATGATCCCAGGGTCCTGGGATCAAGCCCCAGGTCAGGCTCCCTGCTCAGCAGGGATCTTGCTTTTCCCTCTTCCTCTGCCTGCCACTTTGCTTTCTTGTGCTCTCTCTCTGTCAAATAAATAAATAAAATCTTTTTAAAAAATTAATTAATTTTGGGGTGCCTGGGTGGCTCAGTGGTTAAAGCCTCTGCCTTCTGCTTAGGTCATGATCCCAGAGTCCTGGGATTGAGCACTGCATCGGGCTCTCTGCTCAGCAGGGAGCCTGCCTCCTCCTCTCTCTCTCTCTCTGCCTGCCTCTCTGCCTACTTGTGATATGTCTGTCAAATAAATAAATAAAAATCTTTAAAAAATTAATTAATTTTAAAAAGGTATGTTTATGTTTACTGATAATTTTTCTGTTAAAAAAATATAAACTTGGGTCACTTTTGAAATTTATATACAGTAAGTTTGTTTACCTGAGAGTTCACAGACCTGTGATCCTGCTGTGGATTCCAAAACAATTTCTGGAAACATAGAGAGGGGATCTGAAGGTTGTATGCATTTAACAAAGAAAGCCATCTTCCTCATTTCTGTCTCACACAAATTTCTTTTAATAAATGGTAAAATTCATATTTCAAAAAAGCCTGAGTTTGGGCTGTTATAGAATAATGAATGCCACATTTTGAAAGTACTGTATGGACAACTTAAGGGGAACCATGTAGAGATGCATAATGATTGGGAGCCCTTATTTTAAGCTCTGCAAGAACCAATATGCTTGATTCATTTAGTGTAATTTTATTAAATTAACAAAAAAGAACTTGTATAGGGTTGAAACACATGGACAGGATGGCAAATAAAGATGACTGAACCTGGGAATCTCTGCCAAGGTTTTATTTGTGTGTGTTGGTGGAGAAGTGTGGGCTTGAGGCCAGCTCCACCAAAGAACAGACCCAGCTCCCACCCCTAGGCCCAGGGAAATGGGATACCTCTCAGTTCTGAAATGTTGATGAGCTGTGGAGGGGAGAAGGACAGGAGAGCAGATGGAATTCCTGGACAATTGTTCCAGCTGTCACCAGAGAGGACAGGCAGCGGGGAGCACTGGATAATTTACAGAGGAACATATGCTAAGGCTTCTCCAGAACCATCTGGCCAAGAGAGGCCTGGGCTTGGGGTGGATGTTGTCTTTAGATCTGAGTAAACTTCAGCCTCCAGCCCAGCCCATTCCCTCTGCCTGAACTGTGGCTTTCCCAGGAAGGCTCTGCTCCCTGAGTACCCACCTCCAGAGTTCCACCTGGCTCTCATTCCACTCCCTCCTTTGCTGAGCCTGGCTTTTGTCTTTACTACCTTTCCTGAGAGGGCCAACTCTGGCCTTTGGGGCCTGTACCTTCCACCAACGCATTTCCCTATTCTGTAGTATTTTCAACCCCTTCTCCCCACCACTATATTCCAAAATCCCTCTATCACTCATCTCCATGCCATTAATTCACTCAATAAATGTTTATTAAGTACCTACTATGCCTGGCATTGTTTTAGACACTGGGGATACAGAGATGAATGAGAAAAAGTCCTAGATCTCTGGAGTTTGCACTATAGTGGGAGATGCTGAATAAACATATATCAGATAATGATGAGTCCTGTAAAAGGAAACATTAAAGCAGGGTATGGGTGAATGACTAGGGATGCTGTTTTAGACAGAGTGGCCAGGAAAGGCTTCTCTCTAACATAGTGACATTTGAGCAGAGACTCTAATGGGAGTGAATATCTGAAGGAAGAACTTTCCAGGCACAGGGAACAGCAAACCTAAAAGCCCTGAGTATTCTCCGTGCATTGGAAGGATGCCATGATATTTATCCATTAAGCATTTACTATGTTCCAGGCACCTGCTAGGGAATATGAACATGCAGTTGGACACAGTTTTTGCCCTGAAGGAGCAGCAGCTTAGTGAGGGGTGCACTATTTAAGTAAATAATTATAGCATAGGATAACTGCAGTGAAGTTATGTGCGAGTGGCTAGAGATGCCCAGCAAAAGGAACACCAAGTCCAGTCTTGGGGCCTGGGAAAGGCTTTCTGGAGGAGGTGACATTTCGAGCTGAGGGCTGAAGGACACACAAGAATTGACTATAAAAGGGGAGGAGAGGGCTTGGACATTTTGAGGGCCGATGGCCTGAAAATACAGGACGATTGGGAACCTGAAATCTCTCGGAGAGGTGGAAAATTAGTCTGATGAAGGTGGAAGGGGGTGGGTCACACGGACCGCCACGTGGCAAACTGAGAAGCTGCTTTTATCCTTTGGATGACAGGGAACTAGTGCTGGCACTATTCCACTATATTATTTTGTTTTCTTTCTTCCTTTCTTCTTCCCTCTTCCCTTCCCTTTCTTCCTTCCTCTTTCTTTCTTTCATTCTTTCTCTCTCTCTCTTCCTTTTTTTTTTTTTTTTTTTAGTAACAGAATCTTTCCTCACTGTTCCAGCTCTTGCCCTACCCCTGACACCTCCTTCCTTCTCTAGCGGTCAGGCCTCCAAACCCTACTCTTAGGATATCCCCACCTTTCCCCAATCACCCGGTGCCCTAATTCCCCAACCCGAAACCACGCCCTTAGCCACGCCCCCGATGACGCGCAGCGCCCGGTGCGTGGGGATTCCCGCGGCCCCGGCCACTACCCGGCCTGCCCCGCGGCAAGATGGCGGCGTGAAGGCAGCGGGCAGCGGCGGAAAGTTTGTTGTGGGATTGTAGTCGGCCGGGAGGCTAGAGTTGGGGAGGATCGTGGGGACAGTATCGCGGAGTAGGGGCGGAGGAGGGACTAGCTCCGGGGTTAAGAAGAGGAAATGGGATGTTGGAAGGAGAAGAAAAAAAAAAGAGGGAGATAGGGCGGAGAGGAGGGGGCCTAGGATCCCGCGGCGGCCCTGGGGGAGGGGCCCGGGGCGGGGGAAGCACTAGTAGGTGTGCAGGTCCTAGGGAAGCAGTTGCGAATTGGAGGAGAATTTCTAAACCGAAGAGTCAAGAACCCTGGAGTTTGTGGCCGAGGCCCGACTGTACTGGGCCAGTAGGAGAGCGGTCTCTCACGTGTTGGAGGATAGTGGGGAAGAGGGGAAGAGGGACGAGACCTGGAGGATGCTGGGCAGGTTTGGTATGGAGGAAACTAAAGCGTAAGATGACCCTTCTGCAGACTTAGATCAGCCTTTCCAGAGTTCCTATAGCATCTGCCCCAATTTCAGCTGAAGACTCAGGGGCCCCAGGGACTGGAAGAAATCACAATACCTGCTTGGAAAGAAGAAGAGGTAGCGACTTGCCCGAGCTCAACCCCAGAGCGGGTAAGGTGGCCTCCAATGACAGGCTGGCATGCTCCCTGCAGCAGGATGCATGGGCTCAGAGTGATACTGAGAAACATTTAATCTGAAAAGGGCTTTCATCTATAGAGGTTGCCCTTTGCCTGTGGTCTCTAAGTTAGTGTTTTGTTTAGAATACACACTGATTTTTGAGAATTGGGTGTAGCATTGAGCCTTGTGTGCCTTTACCTGTACAAGTGGGCACTGTCAGGGGCCTAGAGATGAGGCGGAAAGTGCTTTAACGTCCCTGCCACAAGCAGTTTCCTACATGTTCACTGTATCTTTTTCGGTCTCCCCATCACATCTTCAGTTTGGCATCCTACCTGAAGTAGAGATTTGTGAGTGAGGGATGGGGCAGGGGCAGTCAGAAGAAGTCTGATCATGCTGTCACCAACTCCTGAATTCACTCTTGCAGCAGATGTGCTTCTTTTGAGCTTTCTTTTGGTAAGAAGGGCTCATTAGTTTTTCTTTGAGGTTGTGCATTTGGTGGACAGGTGGAGTCAGTAGAGGAGGAAAAGCAGGTTGAGGTTAGGGGGAAGAAACCCAGAGCAGTTTACAGTAAGGTGTCGGTTGCGTTGACTGGTGTAAGGCTCTGGGAATATTTATTGTATCACCCTCTGTCCCTGAGATCCCTGATATTTGGGAACTGCTTTACGGTCTGGATCAGTGTGGTGATGGAAGGAAAGGATTGTAGAATTTTTCTAATAGCTTTCTTCTCTTCCTTTGTATTCTCCCCTTCGAACCACATTTATAAACAGTTTCACTAGCCAAACTAAACATGGCTTAAGAGATAGTGGATTTATGGGGTGCCTGGGTGGCTCAGTGGGTTAAGCCTCTGCCTTCGGCTCAGGTCATGATTTCAGGGTCCTGGGATCAAGACCCGCATCGGGCTCTCTGCTCAGCAGGGAGCCTGCTTCCCCCTCTCTCTCTGACTACTTGCCTCTCTGCCTACTTGTGATCTCTCTCTCTGTGTCAAATAAATAAATAAAATCTTAAAAAAAAAAAAGATACAGTGGATTTAGCGTTAGAGAAAAGAGAAGGGGTCTGGAGCCACAAAGTGTGGTGAATATGGTCCTCACTTCCTTTGATGCCCTGTGGTTATGCCCAAGCCAGAGTTGGGTACAGACTTTTTACAGAAGCTCATTTCAAGACTGACATCTCTGCATGATTGGATTGGGAGGTCTAGTTTGATCTAGGACTCTGCACTAACTATTCCTGCTCCCTGCCTGTGCCGCCCCCCTCCAAAAGGCTTGCTATAGACAGACCAACCGAAATCACTCTTACTAGGCCAGCTTCAATACCTTCAGGTATCAGAAAAGCTGATGTTATTTAGCTGTGACTCTAGAAGGTTGGGAGTTTTCTCTTTCTGAAGACAGTTTGTGGACTCCCGCCTTAGAGTTGCGATCAGCCAGGAGAGTGTGGGGGGCACACAGAAGATAATGACTCGAGCCAGAATTCCTTGTACAAATTCTGGGTTTGCCATTTGTAGCTCTGTGACCTTTAGAAATTGTACAGCTCTTTTTGCCTTAGCTTTCTTGTGGTAAGAGTACCCGTCTCATAAGGTTGTTGTGAGGGTTAAATAAATGTGTTTAGAACTGTGACTGATACTCCATACATATTTGTTGTTATTGTGCTGGTCAGATCTCAGCACTGACTTCATCATTGTGGTAGGTATCTCTCTCTGGTGGCCCTGTACTGGTTTGAGCTTCTGTCTTGATGTTAGAGAGATGCGGCACAGGTTTTGAATAGTGTAGATTTTGCATGTAGTGAAAACATTTTCATTAAACTATTTAAAGTGATGTTAAAATGCCATGATTTCCTTTTTGAAATTGTGAGGTTTTAGAGTTGCCGTTGCAGTTGAGCTATAACGAGAGCAGTGCTCAGTGAGTATCTTCTGTGTGTCTGGCACTGTTGTAAGTGCCTTAAATGTATTAACTGATTTAATTTTTATAACAACCCTACGAAGCAAATACTTCCATTGTCTCCATTTTACAGATGAGTAGAGGACAGAGTGGTTAATTTGCTCAAGGTCACCCAGCTAGTAAGGGGCAGAGCTGAGATTTGAACCCAGACTATCTGGCTTCAGCAATTAAGCATCCTTTTTTTTTTTTTTTGGATTTGGTATGAAATTAACTCTTTACTAAATATGACTAGCGGCAATTTATATCTCTTATTTGTTTGTCATAATGGTTAGATTGTAGTAAACTTTTTTGATTTATTTAAAATATGTTTTAGGACCTGAGCTCTTCATCACGGCTCTCTCCTTCTCAGATATAACAACTGGTACAGGGACTGTGGGAGGGTGCCCACTGCCCTCTTAGCCAAATCTGGACCCTGCATGATTCAGCCTGGTGATTGCCCTTTAGAAAACCTTGGACCTGGGTTAGGTGAGCAGGCTGACAACGAGAATCCACTCTTAGCATACCTTAAGGGGGGGGATATATTAATGAAGACATAAATAAAAGGCTCATTTCTGACTTAATGATTACTGACAGGAGCAGCTGAAGTAGCCACAGGGTTAAATTCATAGACAATCTGGATGCCATCTTTGTTTTAAAAAAGAGCAGGTAGCAGACTACACACAAAAAAACAAAACAGGTGGCGTTTTAACCAGTGTCAGCCCCCAGTTTGAGGAGAAAGTGGAAGACCGCTCCTGTGGTCAAGGACCGTCCTGGCTTGGAGCTCTGCAAGTGCTTGCTGGCTAGTCTCTTCGTCTTTAGCCAGCCAGGAATCCCACGTGCACGATGTTTGATTGACGGGCTTTCCTTGCCCTGCACTTAAGGATCACTCTTCCCCTGCTTCTGAGTCACATCCTGTCTATTTAACATGCCCGCAGGGCCCATCTTTTTCTTTAGTAAATGACTCTACCTTGCCATCAGAGTAGGCACGCGCCTGATGTCTGAGCAGATTTTAGGGGAATGGGGGGCTCAGGATTTAGGGCTTTTTCTGGGAATTCCCAGCCAGCCCTCGAATGACCTTTTTCTACTTGTTGTGGCACTTGAAATTCTGAAAGTTAGTATCTATCAGTGTCTTTTCCCCTCCACCATTAACCCAGGAGCCTCCTATGTCTGGATAACATCCTTTATCTCCATTTGTGCTGCAGTCAGCGTGCTGAAACGTGTAATCTCCGTGAAGTACACCTTTGTGTTTTGGTAGAAGTCATCAGACTTACTGAATTCAGGTCTCTTTTTAGCAAATGCTTGAGCTGCAGAGTAGAGGCTGATGAATTTGGAGTCAGTTCTCTGCCTTTACGGTTCTTGTTTTGTCGTTCTCAAAGTCCATTTCTTCTCTTAACACCCCTTATTCGAGAGTATTCTTTGCATCTAATCCCTTCACCTTTTCCTCACCACCATATTCTGAGTGTCAAGGACCTCTGGGTAAACCCGGCCTTCGTTTCTCACCGGGATTCAGCCTCTTCTTCTTCTTCTTTTTTTTTTTTTTAGATTTTATTTATTTATTTGAAAGAGAAAGGGTGAGTGAGAGAGCACAAGTGAGGGAAGGGTCTTGGGGAAAGGGAGAAGCAGACTCCCCCACTGACCAGGGAGCTCGATGTTAGGCTCCATCCCAGGACGGCGGGATCATGACCTGAGCCAAAAGCAGCTGCCCAACCAACTGAGCCACCGAGGCGCCCTCTGGATTAGCAGCTCTGTGAACTTATCCTGTCTAGCTTCTGGGCCTTTGAGCTTGCTGGCCCTGTTGGTTGAAATGCGCTGCCCCCTCCACCCTAACCTACCTCTTTGTCCTTTATTTATTTATTTATTTATTGTAAATACTTTATCTTTAAGTAATCTCTACACCCAACATGGTGCTTGAACTACAACCCCAAGATGAAAAGTCACACACTCTACCGACTGAGCCAGCCAGGAACCCCACCCCACCCCCGCTTTGTCCTTTAGGTCTTGGTTTAAATGTCCCTTAATTGGGGTTCCCCACTCCTTTTGTGCCTTTCCTTTGTGCCTCTGTGTTAACACTTAGGCTGCATTGTAGTTTTCTGTTTACTTGTCTGACTGTCCCAAGACTGTTAGTGCCCTGACAATAGGGACCATGTCTTAGTCATTATTGTATTTTACCCTTTGGGATAGTGCAAGGCACTGAATCGGCACTTTGTGATGCGGTGGGGTATATAGAATGCACGAAATGTGGTGGGCAGTCTCTCCCCTCTCCAGTCTGTCTCGCAAGCTGTTGTGAGAAATGTCTTCCAATGAAAAACACTGTCTCTTCCCATAAAAATGCCATGGTTTCTCCCTTGTTCAGGACACAGTCCACACTCTAGCTCAGCATGCAGAAAGGTTGTTTACAGACTGGCCCCAGCTCAACCCTCTAGTCTGAGTTGCTGTCGCCCACTTCATCTGCGCTGTGCTTCATTGCTCCTGAATTTCCCACTGCTCCTGAACGTGCTGTGGCCATCCATTTACTTTCTTCTTCGCTTGTGCGTTTTACTCTCCGTGGTTGACCCCTTCTCGGAAACTCTGCTCGTCCTCTAGGACCCCACTGGTCTGTCACCTCCCCTGAGAAGTCTTCCCCACTTTCCTTTCCTCCTCTTGGCACCCATAGCACGTTGTGGTTTTGGCATTTACCATATTGTATGGTGATTTCTCTGTTTACTTGTTGGCCTCTTTCATTTAGCTGAACCTCTGTAGAGGAGAGACCCTCCCTGATCATGGGATGAGGGTGAGGGGGTGGGGAGTTGGGAGTGAGGTGAGCAGTGTGATAGAGTCTGATTTTGGAGCGAGGTTGACCTGCTTGAAATCTTGATTCTGCGACTTAAACCAACAGCATGACTTTGGACAACTGGCTTAAGTAGGACTCTTGGTCTTGTCGCTGTACAGTGAGGGTCACGTTATCTTTTTTGTAGGAGTATCGAGCATTAGAGATAATGAGTTCATGGCGTGTAGCATGGTGCCTGTCATACGAAGGATACTCAGTTAATATTTGTTTAGTAAATGAATTCCATTCTGGAAAACACAATGGGTAATAAAAGGCTT